AGATCATTTCGAATCATTTTTGCGTGCCGCTCGCCCGTGCCGCATCGGAATTTTTCTCTCTACTTACCGGGACTGTACCGGTTTTAAACTTCGATTAACGATCGACGAAAACGGCACGTTGATTGCGAAGACCCGCGGTAACGGACACGTTCCGACGATCGCCCGTCACTCCAGTCGGCGCTGATCCCGGCAGAAATTCGCGCTCGTTATACGCTCTTTAAACGGGTGAAATTCGAGATTACTTACGGAGCGATCGCGCTTCGCGTTAACCGAACCGACGCGTTCCCGAAACTGTTACGGCGAAATCCGCGCGGCGTCGCGGACGTCTCGATAGATTCGGGACGCTAATAAGATGCTCGAGATTACAAATCAATTAGCATTCGCGATGACAACTGATCACTTCTCACACGCTAGCCAGCAAGCCGCGATGATTAATGATGTTGTACACAATGTTCTTTATAGGGAATAGATACGTAAAAATGTATCTACATGAAAAACAAATCGTCGATAAAGTTTCGAATTGGTGCGAACAGAATGGACTCGTCCGAATGATCAATTTGTGAAAATGAGCGATATGGACTCGTCCGCATAATTAATCTGTAAAATCTGTGATCATACATGAGTAATAACACGATCGCAAGATGTTGACTTGTCGTACATTCGTGATAAATGAATAGATGCGAAAAAATTTATGTAAAACATATAAAGAAAGTGAACATTCTCATGCTTGGAGTCTTTAGTTAACGCATGTTACAATGGACTTATTCAAATGATCAATCTGTTAAATTGTTAAAACATCAATAATATGGACTCATCCGCATAATTAATTTGCAAAAAATCCATTGTATGTGTGGTAACACGATCGCAAGGTGTCGACTTGTCGTATGTACATTCGCGATGAATATAGATAGATATAAAAATTGTGTATAAAAAAATACAAGAAAAACGCGAAATGTACTTATTCGAATTTCAAATCGTTACAACGAACTTATCCAAGTCAATCTGTTAAAAAGTCAATGATATGGACTCGTCAATTAATTTTTTAAAATCTATTGTACAAGTAATAATTGCGATTCTATCATCATATCACGCTACAGTCAGTGACGAATTTTCTTTGTAGACACACTTATCTCTCGGGGTCTCAATACTACAAAAGTTTACGAAATTAAATTGCGCATGGTTTGAAAATACCAAAATATCCTGCGATGATCGAGCATCGTGACATGTATCGTGCAGTTAATGTGATTCTTCTACAAAAGTATGTTCCCACTTTTTGCGAGATGTTTACAGTTTCTTAGACTAGAGTAAATTAGCCAAACAGTATAAAAGAATCGAAAAATAAAGAAAAACAGTATTATTCTCGATATGCTTTTAAATCCAGATATTATGTAGGAATTACGGGTCGCATAGTACGTATATTTAATTTTGAGTAAAACTAAAAATGTGAAAATTTCATTTTTCGACTTTAGATTTCTTACATTTGATATGAGTGAAATAGAGCTTTTTATTCTGGAAAGTATCAAGCACATATTACTGCATTTTTTTTCAGTTATGCATTATACATTCCGTTCCCTCGGAAATATTAGATTATTTTTTCATGATGCTTGAAATCCCTCAAAATTTTTACATTTAAAAAGGAGATAAATATATATTCGGACGTTGGAGAGAAAGATTCTGAATGCAAAAAGTACAAGTATGAACAGATAACTAATTTATATTATTAATAATAAAAAAAACGATCTCATATGCGATAATGATTGATAATTAACACAGCTCGTACATTTTACATTTTATCAAGCTAAAGAAATAAAAGAATACTGTTTTGTTATTGCGCGTTGTGTACAAACGCTCGGTTGATTTTCCGGAATGGGACAACTTCGCCGATTCTCGCCGAATTTCTCGGCTTCAAGCGCGTCGCTGTTTTTTTGCCACTGTTTTGCTCGGCGCTTTTTCTAGGAATCCTGAAATATTCTAGGAATCCTGAGCGTTAAAACACGTCGACCAATTGCGTTTTGATCAATTCTTACTTTCCGTAAAAGTCGATAAATCTACGAAAACATGAAGTCGTGATTAAAGTAAGATAAAATTTGATTAACTCAAGTTAAGTTATGAGTATATTCGTAGAGAACTTGGAAACGAAGAATTATCGAAATTATATTCCGATAATTCTGAAAAATTACATTCTTGTTTATCAGATTGTTAGCAATAATAAGACAGAGATATCTTTGCGTCTTCAACTTTATAAATGATTTATTGTTCGATATATTCGTCTACCGTTTTATACTGTAATACGATTTCGATGATTTGCTATTAATTAATATACAGAGATATATTATCGGATTATCGAGCTGTGTTGGGATTACAAGATTTAAATAGCCAAAATAGAAATGCGATTAATCTCGACAAGACTTCCTGTCGCAAAGACTTTAGGAAGATGTATTTAATGATTAACTGCTAATTTCGACGCAGAGAGCTGTCTGTTTCATCCTTTTCATCTTCCTTATCCACTAATCTATAACTCTACATTTTCTTCCCATTAATTTTCGTTTGACAATAGTGTACTCTTTAATTTTTTGTGCGAGTAACCGTAGTTATTTGACAGGCCGCGTCATGTCAAGAGAAATAAATTAAAACAAGTGCTAGTTAAAGAATTTACGATACCAGACATACAATTGATGTTAGAATGACTCTTGGAAATGCTTTTTTGTGTAATTGTATCATCCGGAAAGATTTATTACTATATAAACCGTGGCACGCCGTGTTTCTTAACATGTTTGCTGAAAAAAAAAAATCATTTTCAAATTGATAAAGGTCGTAATATTATGAGGATGATTTTGCGGTATTTTATGTATTCTAATAATGGATTCCCCTCATCCCTGTCTCTTAAATTTCCTGCATATTGAAATAATGGATCCTCAAATTCGTGGTCACACACTGCGAATCTCGTAATCCCAATATCTCGATAATCCGATAATATATCTCGGTAGGTATATTAATTAGTATCGAATTATCGAGATCGCATTGTATTGACACGGTCCGTTTTACAATCCGCCCATAAATCTGTTTTCGTGAGATTTTTGTCATAAATGTAACATGGCGGAAATTAAAGACAACAAAGGACGCGCGTTACAACATATATGTAATTTATTCAAATTTAAATGTATGTGTGTTTATGTATGTGCGTATGCGAAATAGTGTGTCTCTTTCTCTCTCTCTCTCTGTTGTCTGTCTGCCTGTCTCTGTCTCTCTCCCTTTCATTCTGTCTATCTTTCGCTACCCTCCATTTTCCAGCTCATAGGGATCAAATTTTCCATATCCCGGCTTTTCCGCATTTGTATAGATGATCCCTCTACGGTTATACATCAAATTTCAATGTTTTATTTCCACAGTCAATATGTAAAAATAAATGGATATTGTGTATTTATCGAACGATTATTAATATTGATGGCTTTGTCGCAATATTAAGCCATCTATTATTCAACGTTAATTTATGACTTTTACTGTACGATCAACGTGATTGAGACACTTTTTGTTTAGGCAGCCTCCTGTAAATATTTATCCCCATATGGAACACGCGAGATAACAGCGATGAAAACGAATATTAAAATATTAAATGCATTATCAATGTATGCATAAATATAAAATTACTAGGGGATTATTTTTTCTCCACTTTTATTTTTGACACTATCTATAATATATACCCAGATAGCACATTGCAGAAAATTAAAAAAAAAATTCAGTCGCATGTCATCAATTCGGAGTTAATTTTCAGATGCAAAAGAATTCTTTTTCTAGAAGATTCTGATATAATTCTTTTGTACCTGAAAAATAAATAAATTCTCTTTAAACTCTTTGTGGTATCTGAGTATTTAATTATTAACTATTTTTCGAATTAGCACAATTCTATATTTTGAATTATAATTATATTCCGAATTACTACTTATTCTCAATTTACATTCTTGTTCGAAAAACGAAGAGAATGGTCGAGCTAATATAGGGTAGATCAACATCGGTGTAACTGTGGCCCCAGCTCCGTATATACACTTTGAAAATACTTTGAATTATTGAGAGCTTAGAATTGATCGATTTGAGTTAACGGCAGTATATAATAGCGTCAGCGGCTGTAATCCAACAATAGTAATTGTACTTTAATTGTTATTATTGCTAAAATATATCAATTGGTTTTTCTTGTAAACGTATAAAATCACTTGTACATCAATTCCAATATATTATTTTGAATATAATTTTTAAAAGGATAGACAAATGAAACGTTCCGTCAGAATTTGCGGCAAATAATTTAATTACGCAAAAATGTCGTTTGAGGAAACTTGTATATCGAAATCGGCTGTTTAATAATTGTCGAATCCATCGTGTCGCAAGTTTGAAAGCCGGGATTAATGTCGGCAGACGGTAGATTGCAAACGCGAATTGAAATTTGAGAAACGTGGCATTCAAAAATTTCATATGATGTTTGTCGAACGCCGCGGTAGATATCACGCAAAATTTTCGATTCCTCTTGTTACAATCTTTCATATTGACTTAACCTAAAACTGATCGCACGATTATGAATGTTATGATTCACGTGTGACAAATGTATAAAATATATATAATGTACACATTCATTAAATTGTTGTAACATAATTAATAGGTATAATTAATAGATATCAAGTAATTTCATAAATTGAATAATTCGCTCATTTTAATACTTTATTTATATTTTAGAATATTCTTACATTTATTTATAATAATTAATTTTTCTCTCTCGCTTCTTTTTTTTCCAATGTCACCTATATACACTTCTGTAATAATTAATACATTAGTAACGTTTATCGTTTTTTTTCCTACTTAAAACTCAATATTTTGCAGCTATTTCATAACTGCAAAAAAGTGCGTGTAAAAACATGTTTATGTTTATTCCTGCCTCAAGCGTGTTTAAAAAAACATTTGAAAAACACAGCCAGCGCCATCTGCAGATTGAATCTCGACGCATAGTCGGTAAAATCAGGAATTATCGTCTGCTATGCTCTTCCCTCACGTGCGTCCGCGACGGGCAGCAAATTTTGAGGTTATGTTTTGCACGTGCAGCGACATATGAATTACCTATATTTAGAGTTAGTTATTTGTCATCGCGGACGAATCGAATTATAGAGAAGTTGACTCGTGCTTAGATTCGGGCATTGTGAGACATCTTTTTTTCGTGAAAACAATATGCAGGGGACCGGTGACGAGGTCGGTGAAAAGAGGAAAGTTTGGTCGGAGGAGGAGCGTCTGGAGCTCGCCGCGAAATTGGACGCCGAGTTGCACGAGTATGTAAATAACTTGGAGAAGAAGAGTTACGCGGAGGGATGGCCGGAGGACAGGTGGCAGGAGGAGATGGAAAAGCACCCTTTCTTCATGAAGAAGCCGCCGCAACCCGGCGACGAGCTGTCCCCGCTGATGGAGGGACTGCAGCAGCTCAAGTACGGAGAGGATGAGAATACTCCCGAAGGTACGTTCCTCCACGAAACATGCGAGACCACTCGCTGTACTTTGTTCTTAGCGTTGCTTTGCTACGCAAAGCACACACGTTGCTTCAGTCTCCTACGCATGGTATTCATACGCGTACACTTAATGCAGAATTGGCAAACAATTACAAGGAGGATGGAAACTTCAATTATAAGTACAAAAAGTATCGCCTTGCCATTCTTAGTTACACGGAAGGAATAAGAACCAAGTGCAAAGATAACGACTTGATGGCTCAGCTTTATAATAACAGAGCCGCCGCACATTTCATATTGCAAAATTACAGGTAAACGAGCCTTCCGATAGATTGCATGATTGAATGATTAATCCTAATGTGTGGAGCTTATATTTTAATGTAATAAAAATTACAGATCATGCTTGAATGACTGTAAATCGGCCTTAAAGTTCAAGCCGCAATATCCGAAGGCTTTGAGTCGAGCTGCCACTTGTAGTTTTCACATTAGAGATTATGATCAATGCATCGATTTGTGTGACCAGTTCCTTGGTCATAGTCCAACCGATAAAACGATATTGAAGTTAAGATCTGATGCTGTAATTGCAAAAGTAAGTCATATTAAATATTAACATAAAAGTTAAGTTATGAAAGCATTAATTTCCATTCTTAATGTCGACTGTTACTTTGCTCTTGAAGGAGCGTTTGCGAAGAGACAAGAGGAAGCAGGAAAGAACAGAGAAAAAATTAGATAAGGAGGATGAGAAATTGTTAGAGACAATTTCTCAGAAAGGTATTACTTTAGAATTGACGAATGATAGACAAAAGCTAGAATTAAGAGATCTAGAGCCACAAGTACCGCAAATAGCGCAGAGTAGAGTGCACTTCGACGAGAAGGATAAGCTTGTGTGGCCAGTGATGATTTTATATCCAGAGACTCAGCAAACTGACTTTATACAAAATTTTCACGAAGATACATCGTATGTTTTTTTTTCTCGAAATATATATTTTATGTCATATACATATAATTATATCATTAAAATACGTTTTTAATCGTTTATAGATTAATCGAACAGCTAATCGAACTATTCGAGGAACCTCCCGAGTGGGATGTAAAACATCGTTATACCATAGAAAATATAAACGTATATTTTGAAGGAAAGAACAAATGTTCCGCTCATAAAGTAGACATCCAACTAACGTTGGGCGAAATATTACGAGACAAACAGTGAGTTTATCAGCAACGTTTTCTAAGTAAAAGCGTAAGCCGAGGATTATTTTTTAATGTCAAAATTAATCTTTCAGGTTCGTAGTTCGTGGTGGTACACCGGCTTTCTTGATACTCGTAAAATCTAGTGAATATGAGAAACATTTCTTAGCAAATTACTAAGTTTCTGTATTATTATATGTATATTGTACATATCATATTATATACATTGTTAATTGAAAATTAATTGAACTTTACATAAATGATGTATACATTTTATGTGTTTTTGTAGAATAAATATATATTTTGAATTTTTCTCATACAAAACTTGCATATGATTTGTTTCACATGTTGAAATTTAGAGCAAGCAGATCGTACACATATGTATATAATTGCCAAAAATTTGAGGGCTGAAAGAAAAAAAAGTAGCTTTCCTAAAAAGTTTCATCTAACACGAAGACCCGAAAAGGCTTCCTTCGGAAGGTAAACGCATGAGCGAAGACACGGTTAAAAATTTATGATCGTCTCTGGGCCGTATAAAAAAGTAGAAATATCAATGCGCTTCTTAGATACAAAAATTTATCTGATTGGTAAAAGTTAAAATCCGGCGAGCTTTCCTTTGGCTGAAACGCACGCATGTACACGCGGTTGAAAATTTGTGTCGGTATAGTTTCCTTTTATACAAAAGAATAGCATACATAAGAATAGCATATACTATTGCATTTTCTCCCTGAGACGCTTCATAAGAAGAAAAAGTGGCTTGTTACGAACCGAGACCCGGAAGAGACGTAGTTCAGCTCGGAACACCCGCGTCTGCGAGCAAAAAAAAACGCGTTTTTTTCGGTGCGGTTATCTTTGCGGTTTTTTTTTTTTATAAAAATAAGAAAATAGCTTTCCCCCAGGAGTCGGGGAGGAAGAGAAGGTTTCCTGAATATCGTGGACCTACAATGAGAACAGTTTCCTAAAAGTCGTGGGGTCAGAGTGGAAAGAAATGGCTTTCTAAGAAAACCTTCATCGTACGAAAGAGCTGGTGAGAGACTTTCTATTTCAATGTTATGACCGCCACATATCTTCAACCATTTTTTTTTTGCTCATATATATTGCCTCGGTCCATCGTTTGAAAAAAAAAAAAAGGATTTTGTTTTCGTCCCGGTTTCTTTTTTTTGCGATCGCGGCATTAATGCGGTCCAAAAGAGACGTGAATACCTTTAATAAAAAATCGGTAAATGGGAAATTTATAGGTATTCTAAATATGTTGCCTATAAATTTTTTATCGAAAATTTTTTCTCAATAATTGATCGCTTCAGCAAAAAAAGAAGAAAGAGCTTTCATCTTTTTCTCGCAACTTGCTCTCGCGTTCTTCGCAGCAGAATGATGCAGGATCGGTAAGCGGCAGGGGGTCGTCGATCGTGGAAGGTGGTGCCACCTGTAGCACCTGTCTACGCCAGGTGAGAATAAAGAGGAGCCGCGGTAGCCTGAAATTCAGTTGGGTCGACGCCGTGGGACACGTGTGTACGTTATCTCGATTCCGGTCGCCGCGGGAATTACGTTGAACTCGCGGCCGGTGTTCGGTGCTGAGACGCTCGCGGCACGCAGATCCCGCGGGGGAGAGCACGCTGAGGAAGGTCGGCGTGTCGCAAGGGCCGCCGTGTAGTTCAGGACCTTCAGCCTTCAAGAGAGAAAGAGGGGAGAAAGAGTGAGACGCGCGGCAAACGGAGGGACGTGCAGCACGGCCGTCGCGGAGCAGCGGTACGGGACGCACAAAACGATGCCGAAGCGATGCAGGTAAAATTCCTCGCGTTACTCCTGCCCTTCGCGGAAATACCCGCGCCCCGCGCGAATCCCTTTTCAATTCACGACCGGCTTTGTTTCGTCGGGTGCTGGTCGGTCGCGTCGCACCTGCGCCGAAGCGAGTACCGCGGAGTACCGGAGTCGGGACTGGAGTCCTGCCTGACGAATCGACGACGCTTGCCGTAAAATAACGCGAGGAAAAAGCCGCTTTGTCTTTTTAACGGAGAGACGTAACTAATAGCTAGCTCGCGTTTTATCGTAAACTTTTCCTGATTTTTTTATGGGAATTCTTTTTTCCACTCGCATTCCACAGATTAAATTGTCGAGTTCAGTCGACGCTTTATATTAATTTTTTTTTCTCTGCTTTTGATAGATTTATTTTTAAATTACTTTCTTTAAAAATATCTGTTATGCTATATAGTTAAATAGAAGCGATACATTAGGTTATTAAAAGGTTGTTAGCGATCTTTTTTCTTCTGCAATTTGACAAGTATACCAAAAAAAGGGATTGTATTTGCATATTTAAATGCAGCTCACCTCCTACATCTTTGGTCTCCCAATGCAGAGATGCGTTAAAAAAGATGATGCTGGGACGCTTTCAAACTTTCTCGAGTGTTTGCGTAGGCATTTTTAGTGATCGATCGTTTGGAAAGTGTATCTTGCTTTGCCACAGATATAAATTAAAAATTTGAAGCGTTTAATAATCGTCATGATATGTGAAGCGCAATTAATGGACTCTTGTTAGACAGCAAATTTAATTCAAATTTTCCTTGGAGATAAACGAATTTAACTCATAAAAATATTGCATTAATATTGAAACGACGTGTATTAAGTTCGATATTTTAATATTAATGTACGAGTTACATTTGCTTTTGCCTGATGTAGGTACAAAATTCCATGTCGTACATAAGTCGGTCGTTATTTAATATTTTCAGTGTAAATGCGGTAAATATCACACTGATTTACCGTAATTCCAAAAACCGATACCAAAATCCAATTATGCGCGCCGTTCCTGAATTCGTGTCGGTGGCCGTTGTCTCATCTTTATTTCGAAATAAAGCGTGGAATGCGTAATGATAATGAGCCGATCTGCGCGGGATCGGCGTGTCGCGTACAATGCCATTAGTACACGGACAATGGAGCCTATGTCGGGCATTAAATTATTCATGGGATAGCTGTTGCATCGCGACGATCGGCGCGCGTCGCGGCGCACGTTCCGCGCCGCGTGACAAAAGTTTTGCATCTGAATGCGAATCTGGTGCGTTACGGTGGCGGTATTTTTGCAAAAATTGAATGAAAGCGCGGCGCGGTTCCACCCGGTAGAACCTCCGTTGGATCCGCTCTTTCTGGGTCAACGCAGATCTCGTCGGAGCCGGGATCGATCTCGGCGCGCGGTGTGCGCGCCTTCGTCGGGGGACCCGCGCCGCTCGGAATTCGCCAGGTCCCTCCGAAGGACATTTCGCAGGGTAGAGAACGGTGCACACACCGTGGTCGACTGCGTGTCCTAGTTTCGCGCAGGACGCACCGGGCCGGGCCACGGTGCATCTCTCTGTCCGATACCTCAGGGGCAATACGTGTCGAGGGGAGTTGCGTCACGCGAGGCACGCACATCGTGCGGCAAGAAAAATGCGCGAGCGGACCGACCGCCGAACCGGTTATAACGACGAGTCAACATCCAGCGGGGATCGCGGGCCGAGAGAAAGAAACGATATAGGAAATATCACGTGTTCGCTCGTGCCCTCGGACAGGAACGAAGCAAGCGTAAAGATAAAAATGATTTACTTGATAATTTTATTTATATATACTCTTCTTTTTCTAACAAAGCTCAAGACTTTTATTTTAATGACTTTTTCAACATTTTTAGAGAATTTATTGCCTTAGCGTTTAAAGTTAAATTTTGACTTGCCATTTTTGCCTCGTTTTTATTCTATGTCGAGAGTTTTAACAATTAGAATCTTAATTGTTATTGAGTCAATAACGATCAATATGGTAATGTACAAATTGATTTAATGTAATGTACTTTATTAGCAATAAAAGTTACGAGTTGGACTTAAACAAGACTTTTGCGGAGCGCACAATGTCTCAAGCTTCTCGTTTCTCTCAACGTTCGAGGTTGACCTTTCGTCGAGATCATTATAATTCGAATTACGAAACAAATACGAGGAATATACAAAAGACTCAATACGCTGACCCAATCGTTATCTAAATATCCGTCCTTGCAGTCGACCTGTGTCTCTCGAAATATTTAGAATTAAACACAATAATAAATTTAACAATTGAACGAACGAGAGCAAAACTTAACGTTTTAACGCGGATGAGTATCAGTTCAGAGGAATATTTGTATTTCTTTTCGCACAATCGGATCGCTTGAATTTGATAAAATGTCTCGACGAATATCTCCCGGTCGGCGAAACTCACTCGTGATGGGTTTGATTTCACGCGGAGACAATCGGGATCGCGCAGATTCCGATCCATGGAACTCTCTCTTTGTTTCCGTCTCCCTCCTCTTCGGTCCGCTTCTACTTCTCCTAGGCGACGATGTTTCACACACAACGCGTATGTAGTCGCGACGTGACACGGTCTAACGGCATTCACCCGACCTCGTCAACCCGTTCCTCCCGTGTATGCGCGCATTCCTGCGTCTTCTTCGCTCTTACGTCGCCCCGTGATAACATTTCCGTCACGCGTGTGCGCGCACAATCGTTTGTCATATCGCGACGGGTCATGCGAATCCGACACGGCGCGGCGGCAGTTATGTCAAAACTCGTTTTATCTCTCGGGCCACACGAGCAATTTCGCGCAATTTTATACCGACGTTTATGTGTTTTCGACATCTTACCGGCATCTTGCATTTGGAGATCCAGCTCTGATTTTTCTTCACAAAACGTTAAGAAAATCAGCAATCCATGCACGATTATTTTCGGCAGTCGTGTAAGATTCGGTTTGGAAATTTTCTAAAGCAGTAACAATTCATAAAAATATTCAACAAGTAAAATGCTAAGCGTAATGATAAAAGTAATGAATTCTTTTTTTATTCTCTCTGTTTTATGTTTTAAATCTACGAAGAACGCTCTAATGTTCGCGTGACTCAATTATTATATCTTGTAACCTGATCTACCTCTCGCATTTTATTGTATAAAAAGCTAAGATCATAGAAATAAATGAGCTGCTTAATTGGACGAACTAACAAAACTATGTTCGTATATCCCGCATATGGTATCGCTCGTTTGAGATACTGTAACGCGCTGGAATTTCCTCTTCCCTGCCTCCGATCGAATATTTCCTACGTCACGGTTAACGGAGAGATAGCTCAGATAGTAATAGGAAAATACTTGGTGTACATTTAAGTTCCGACTTTAATAATATGCAGCGGCGCGCATGCAATACGTTACGTCGCGACAATTGCTGCTCCAGTTCCGTCAAGAATGTTGCAGGACAGCATTATGCGCGAATCTCGACTTAAGCTTATTTTCCGTAACATCGATAAATAAATTAAAGCGATATGAGAGTAAACGTTCGTGCTTCGCGATTTCGAAATGAAAATTTCGGCCAGTACGTAATTTCTTTTTTTTCTCTCGAATGCTGCTTTTTAACTTCGAAGTTTTATCTCGCGAACAAGGAACGCGAGAGAAATTATTTTGAACAGCTGCTACGTAAAAACTTAAATACAAAGAACGCTTAATTATCTCCCTTCGAGTTTAAACCGCCGACCGTTCTGGCTTCTGTGATCTTTTTTTGACGGACCGCCTCAACCTTAGTTTTAATATTTAGCCGTGAAAAAGATGTAAATGTAAATCTCGATGTTACTAACGGCAAATAACAAAGTTTCTTCTTGTCAGTAATGAAGCACACTTGGGAAATGTCGGATAGCAAGAAACGGTTATTACATCGCGCCTCTTAAATTTTATCGTACCGTTAGCGATTGTCCCGCTGTTGCCTGCTTATTACAGATCATTAGCAATTCGTTTCATTTTATTTTAACGTTGAGAATTTAAGCAGCACCGTGTACCTTGCCAGAGACCCAGTGTGAGACTGGTTCGCGAGCCCGGGGGAAAATGCGAAGGCTCTCCGTATCTTCTCCGCTTTCTGCATCCCCAATGAAATTTTCTCATTCCATTTCGCGCGATCTTAAACGGAAGGCATCTCAGCAGATTTGTGTATTTTTACTCTAAAAATATACAGCCGACGTGTTCTCCGACTTTTCAATTCAAATTCAGGTCAATGCGAAATGAAACTCTATTTTCCCAGCAGTCTTTCAGCTTCTATTTGTGCTGTTTGTCAATTTTGCTCTTGGAATTTTCATACAAAGGCGTTACTTTAGTAATGCTGAAACTTTGTTTCTTCCTGGTTTCATGTGAAACTTTGAAGTTGAAAGAGAGAGAATTCAAGAAGGGATTATTTAAATTCTAAATATGCTTATTTAATAATTCTTACCTTTTAAATGCTTTTGTTCGTAAACTTTCCCTATTTTCGTCGAGTGGAACGCCCTGAAAGAAAGTACAAAACAGTGCTTGTGTTATTATTAAAATAATGCGCCCGAGTAATGCATGTATTTATTCACGAGAGTAAGACGCGATGCCTGACACTTTCGGTATTTCGAGCTATAAGAATATTAATGTGCCGAGATTATAGAAAATAAATGTATTGCGTTACTTTCTAGGGACCCATTGTATTTCGATGCTCATCAACGGGGATTTCTAACAGAAATTGTCGTATCTCGTCCCCGCATATTTTATTTCACCGTTATTCCACCTTTGCGTGTCCGTTTTCTTAACACAACAGCGAAGCTTCGTGCAGTAGTTTAATCGTCTAACGTACTGATTTCTCTTACAGTTGACACACCGTGGTAAAGAAACACACGTCTCCAAGATACCATTGAGAAGTCCCGACATCAAACGGTACTCGAGGTGGATTCTGAAGCGCCGACGTTTCAGAATCCCCAGGAATCACGCACAATAGGATTTGATTGGAAACAAAGAAGCGCGGTAATTCAAGCACAGCAATCACACACGTTGCCTTCGCGTTGCGAGAAACTTTTCAAGGCGACGAGTTCTTCCTCTCTAACTTCGCGATCCGCCGAAATATACGTAATAAAAGATCACGGCGGTAATCACAGCCGAACGGCTTGCCGCAATCCACCACCTGTGGCTTCTGATAACTTCTCTGATAAGGCGAGAAAGAGCAGCACTGCGACGCCACCGCGGGGGCTTCGACTTTCAGCTCGAGATTAACGCTAAGCTCTCATTTTTAAAGAACACTCTTTCTATTAACTCAGGTAGATGTACTCCTCGAGTCACGAAGGAGCACTTCAACCGTACTCGCACATTCGAGAGACGATCGATTTCGCGAGGTGATGAGAAAAATGCCAAGCTTCTTTCGCGATTTAGAATACTTTTCAAAACTCCGACTGGCCTGCTGAAAGAACGAGAGAACGTTCGGTTTAATAAATGAGAGTTGAAAAGCGAGTCTTTTCGAAGGCGCGCGAGATCATTTGTTCTCATTCAAAGATCGGTGGACAAAGATCTGCCGGCGGATCAACGTGGAACGGACAGTGCCAGAAGTGATCTCGGATAATCGCGTCGTTGAAGAACGCAGTGAAAAGCGCGTCATCAGAACTCCGAGGAAGCGTATAGAGCGTCTAAAAGAAAAAAAAGATACCGAAGAAATCTAACGATCGCGGAGGTGGGATTGACGGTATCCCTCGCTTTCTTTTTCACCGAGAACCGTGGAAGGTAATTCACGAAAAACGGCGAACCACTACGGGGTGCATTACGCGAACTCGTACGCGTGCAGCAACGGCGCACCGAGCGTGTACACCAGCACCGGTTGTTGCACGAACATCAACGGTGGCGGCTTCAACGTGCAACAGCCGCAGCCACACGAGGATTATCGGCCGATCTACTTTTATGTGGCGCAGCCCTACACGATCCCGTACACCTTCGCCAAACGGCCGAAACCCGCCGCGTCGTCGCTGCTAAGGGCGGCGAAACCGCGCGGCAACAATTGCCGCGTCAAGTTCTCCAAGCGACTCGGGAACGCCGCCGACTTCTCGCAGAAGGTCAAGCAGGGCGAATTCTCGCGGAGCCTGAGCCAGGTGCACTTCGCGGAGAGTCAGGGTCAAGGTAACTACACGTTCTTTTTTTTTTTCAATTTACAGAGAGAGAAATTGAGAAGAGTTTACTTTCGAACTGCTTTAAATTTGTGTTTCTGAAAGACAGTTTTATGTAATCTTTGACATGCAATCCTTTTTTTAGTGTCTAAGCGATTTGAAGACAAGTTTATCAATTAATTATTTAATTTGATCTTTTTTTTTATTTGAATTATTGATTTAATTCAGCTAAGAGGCGTTATTTTTTTAAATCTGATTGAATTGTTTTAATAAAACTGATTTTCCCGATAAAATGTTTGTGATTACGTGTATAGCATTGCATTTATGACTTCTCGCTTCAGTAACGTTTTTCTCTCAATAGTCTATTGTGCTTAACTTATAACTTTCATCGCATAATTGAATTGAGTATGTGCATATAAATTGAATTGGAATTAATACTCTATTAGAAACTATCCTATCATATTTTCTGCAAAATTGATGACTTATACCGGCATTTTTCCTTTCTCGTTAGCTCTGAACATTGTCTTGTAATTTATTAATTAATTGTATCTTGCGCTATGTTCAAAATATTATATTTTCCTGCGGATAAATCTATTTCTATGTATAAGGGCTGTAAATATCGGAGCTTTGAGTGCTTCGTTTTCAAGACGCTTTCACACCTGTAGATTCTTCTATCAGACCGGATAATTGTTGCGAAAGCGGCATAGTTTCTGTGTGGCATAATTTAAATAGCGACTGTCGTCAAGTAGATTGCCGATGTCCATGCGAAGAGCATCTCGTTCGCTCTCTTTCTGTTGCACGGAAACACGAGCTTGTCGCATGTGTGTCCTCGGTCAGTTGAACGAATGGAGAAAATGATGTCCTGGAGAGAAAGGAAACGAGCTACGCCGATGCATATAGTGATACGAAAGCTGAAAAATGTAGCAAAAGTCAGTTTTTCTAAAAACAACAAAATTGACACAATATTCTAATATCCGTCTTTATATTTAAAATATTGATTCTGTTATTTTATTATCACTAGATTTTATACAGATTAAAGAATCTGTATAGAAGATACGTCATGCATAATACAATTAATTCTCTGTTTATACATGTACATGATAATCTGAAATTTAATGTCAATGAATGTAAACGAATTGGTAGAATTTATTGTTGTGTTTATTTCTGCACGCGTGTTCTTTAGTTATTCTTGGAATTATTCTATTTTCATCGATTTCCTGCTTTTTTTCAAACTGCCGTAACGCGTATCGCGATGGAGCTTCTCTCGGGCAGAGCAGCGGCGCTATTCCGTTTCGTTTGCGCGAGGAGGATCGAAGTGTTTCCGACGTTAAAAATTTGTACTGTTATTCCGACGGTAGCGGCTTCCATCGGTAGGTTCTCATGTACGCGGCGTAACGCGCGGATGATGTTAATAAGATGCAGCGAGGCGAGACTCTGCTCCATGCAGAGATCGCGAAGACGTTTGCTTTCCGCGCTACGTGCGGGATAGAGGATGAAAGGCATTCGTTTTACTTTAGCACGGACGAAGGGAGGAAAGGCGTGTGAATTTCGCACGAATTTTTTCAGACGAAACATTTTTATGAGTATTTGTTAGGATGGTCGTAATTTTGACATGCTTGACAAAGTGAGGAATTCTCAACACAATTAGAAAAGGAAGCGAGTTTGAAAACGAAGGGTTCTTCGCGAAGTATGCTTAGTGGCTTTCAATAGGAATTCTACTCTTCATTTCAATTGGCTTATATTAGTAAAGTTTTAATCTTAAAATACTTGAAGATCTTTACGAAGATGAATCTTTATTTATAATCGTGAAATTACGAAAACTTATATATGTAATATATGTTAATAATAATTTTGACAGAGCAATAAGAATGTTTTCGTATGAAAAATGCTAGAAATCATATCAAATCTTTTTACTGTCTTTTTTTTAATATAGCTTCGTCATTCTTTTACTCCGCAGTGCTCGCAAGCTATCCTAAAGCTGGATCGTCATCTCGTGATCCGAGGATGACGTCGATGTTTCGCAGAGGCACGATCTTCGCGACCTTCTTCCTGTCATTGTTGGGCGGTGGACTCGTCTGCGCCGCCCTTGTGACGCAGCACTGGGTGGAGGCACGACCGTGGAGAACGCCGAATCCTCAGGAGAGCGCCGGCCGAGTTCATTTCGGTCTGTTGCAGGGTAAAAAGGAGTTAAACGTCGCTTATGGATGGAGGACGTATCACGTGTCGGGTATGTTATTGGTCTTTCCGCCTTTCTCTTTGTGCAACGCCAAGATTGCGTTTTGCGCGTAATCACTCGATCTTTCTCTCGGTATGACAGGATATCGTAACCTTGAGCAGTATGTATTGAGTAGTATTTTAATTATTAATCGTGCGCGTTCTAATCGGAAAATTGATACGCTAGGTAGTTGCATCGATATGCAACTACCGTTAGCCAAGATTTTTCTACTATGTAGAGTTTGATGCAATAATATGCAGGGTATCCCACAACTCGTTATCTCAAGCATGTATCGTATAATTATGCAAGCAAATACTAGTTGAAACAAGTCTTTTTAATGAGAGTAAAGTCCATCAATCAAAATAAACTGAAGGAAATTTGTTCTATAAGAAATATTTTAAGAAAAATACATAAAATAATTTAATTTCTATAAAATTTAAGTAAAAAAAAAGAAGCATATCGACAATTTATACAATATAAAAAAAATTGTTCACTTGTCTCGCGAGAAATAAAGAGGATATATTCAACATCCTGTTTTTGAAATTACTTTTTTCGATTTCGAGAATTACCCAATCTCGTAAAATAAATTCCTACCAATTTTCTTTAACGCCCTTATTTTTCGCCGGAATTACCCCATCGGGATTATCCAAGGCGATTATCTTGTGATGACTTCGTAAATCGTAACGAGAGTCGAGTATTGTGCGATCAGGTTGGATACTTTTCGAATCGCGCTATTCGAATGACTCGCACCGACGAATTATGACCGCTCGGAGATATCCGCGAGAGAAAGGCTCGTGGATGATGGAACATACACTGGTATGAAGCAGGACAATAAATCTGCGACTGATAACCGAGTGCATTAGAGTTCTATTCAACGACGATGCCTGTAGGTGATCGTGGACGTAGGTACGATGTGCACGTGCATGCGCGATAAATCATTGATTTGGTAATCGTCGTTAAATTCATTCCATTAATTTCACCGATCGAAATGATCGCATCGTCAATGGACGGCATCGTCACATCCTTTGTATTGGATATTTGAAATACTCGTAATAACTTTTTTAAAAAAAGTGCAAAATTCACGAACGCACTAATGGAAGGTTTTAACGCGAGTCTCACTAACTGTAAATTTTTATGTTGACGCGTAGAGTTATACGTAGTGCCTTTAGTTATTTTTAATACAGCAACAAAAGTAAAGTGTATTTTCTTCAGAATATTATCAAGTTTGCCAATTGACAGATTTCGTAGCGAAATTGATTTTTTTTTAGATCATTTCTTTTGATTATATTTTTGTTTTAAATCGCTATTGTTATTACGAGAAGAAACTGTTATCGTGCTATAACCAACATACAATAGCGGTCGAAGCACTCAACCGGAAACATCCGCTTCTCGTGGCATCTTAGAATAGAGTGTCTTCGCACAGATGGAGTCCACAAAGAGATCTTTCAAAAATATATACACAATAATAAACAATTAAAAGAAAATACTGAACGTATAAACCTTTTCATATAGAATTATTATTCTCTTATATTAATTCTATTTTTTTATCTTTATATATCGTGTTTTAGTAATGTTTACGGAAATTGTCTTTACGTATGTATGTGCAAGTTATTGAAAGAAAATATCTAAAAATTTAGAAAGTGAAAGAGCGACCCAAAGACATTTAGCAATTTTAAAATAAAGTAAATAAGACAAAATGTTTACTTAAAAATTTCAAACATTTAAAGAAATTATTTAATGATTAAATTATCACATTCTTTCTCCTTTTTCTTCCTCTTTAATTTTAATATTATAATTTATCAATCAAATTTCGACTCAAATTCCGGAACTATTTCGATTTCCGGAACTTTGCGTATCTTTAAATTTTCACACCGTCTCAATGGAAATCCGATCCGTCTCTAACTACATATTTCCGTATCCGCCGAGTGCACTTTTGCGAAGCGACGGTGCATTGTGCCACGCGCGAAAAAGATAAATTTCTTATACACAATGCATAATAATCGCGCCGATGAGCAAGCGACTTTTACGTAGCTATTACGCCGTACTTCCGGAGAAGAACAACAGAATCGCTGGCACGCGCTGTGAGAAACATTTCTCTTTCATTCAGGCGGGTAATGGGTCCGAAGGGATACCTACGTAAACATGCATTCCACGATTACGTATCCCACCGGATATTCTTTTAATCGCAGCTTTTTTGGTCAATTTAAAAAGGATTTTTCATCGACGAAAATATAAAAAAAAATATCATTGTTTATTACATCTAATTATTTTCATATTGTTCATTTTTGTAAGCTCCAAATTAAAATCTTATTTAGATTTTAAATAACTTTAATGTCTTGATCTCATCATAAAAAATCTGATTGATATCTAAGCATCTGATGTAAAATGTAATTGTTAATTATTAATACATCTTTAAAATGAATAGAATAATTATAATGAAATCGTTTCAGGTTTTATTAATTTCGTCAAGGAACGGTCGACGGTACTTTAACGAGAAATTCGAGCGTATAATTCGAGCATAGATATATCTGAGAGCGAGATATACATGCACGTTTGAATTTCTCTCAGTGTAAAACCGCAGGCATGTGCATGCTTGCATGTTATCATATATGTAACAAAAAACCGTCAAGTTACGAGACGTATGCGGGTAACAATAGACACGGAAACTAGTTTTAACGTACAAAAATCAACGACCAAGCCTCGTGGTCTACTTTCACGTGCCCGCGCGTTGCTCGTATCATCGCGCGTTACTGATGCTGACCGCAGTAAGAGTATCGGATTCTAGCGCGATCAATTTTTATGCGGGTCAGAAGAGAGGAGAGAGAGAGAGAGAGAGAGAGAGAGATGGGAAGAAGGAGTGGTCGATAATTCCACCTGATCGCGCCATTCACAACTTACGTTATGCCTCAACGTTTACCAAGCGCATTTTCTGGAAGCATTTTCAGTATGAGTGCATTACGTCGACATCAATCATTTTCATCATGTAAACAAATCAGATTATTTGTACATTTATGAAGAAGGTATTTCGATGTTAAATCTGAGAACAAATTCGCGATAAGAATTTTAGAATCTCGAAACTGAAGTTGATGTAGTCTAATGTCTTGCGTGCAGCTTTAATTTTAGTCCGAGGAACTACATTGAATTGCATAGAAATGCACTATATCGGATCGAAACGATCGCAGATAGCGTTTTTGAGTACATTAATGGTAAATACATTTTCGAGTCGGCGATACTCGCGGAACTTGGCGCGGCCGCCTCCGGCGAATGCAATGATCCGTTATTCATGCCGTCGTAAGTTGAAATGTCTCGCGGAAACTTCGTCGTATCCTGGAAACGTAATGCGCGAAATATTCCTACTTATATTTCGTTCTTTCACTCTCGAGCGTACATCACGCCCGGATATAAAATACGATAGCGGCGGCTTTTAGTTTCCGCGGCGTGCGATACATCCGCATCAACGAAAAGACGTCAGAAGTAGCGAGAAGCATTGTGGATATTTTCAAGTGTGACGTTACTGAAGATATATATTTTCATATGTAAAGTTAATCGCTCGAGGAGCTGGCTACGTTTCAATTTTCGGACATTATGCAACGCTTGCGTAATCGAAGTCCTCGTTCCTGCTATACGTTTGGAGAAACAATTTAAATTCATTTCAACGACTACGCGATTATCGATGGCGTGTAATATGAAAATGCGATAAAATAATATTGAAATATGCAATATATTTGTACAAATTTATAATTACAGCATTTAAAGATGTAAAAGAGTACCTTAATTTTATGCCATAATTTTATTTTATTATAGTATAATAATATTCAACATTATTATATATGCTGCCATTTAAATACATTTTATACATTAACTTAAAAGTGAATTAATTAATTATGATTGGAATTGCATTTGTTATACCATTGTCCCGATAAAATAAAATAAAATAAAAATCTTGATTAACAATGTTTCAGTTCCTCAAATGATCCGACAGGATCCATCGGTGATGTCTTGGGCCCTATGGATCGGTACTTTAACAACGACTTCGGCTGCTTTGATAGCGGCCGCACTTGCTGCGCTTTTGGCAGTTCTAAATACGGCTACTTCACCAAGATCGAAGATTTTATCCATTCCTGGCGTATATTTTATAAATATGTTAACGCGTAAGTATTTTTTTAACACAACATTTAATTAAAATTATGAAAAATGTTTCCTTAAGAAAATCATTAGATCAGAGATCTTAACTGTTAATTTTTGTTAATATCTTTTATATAGATTAATATCTTACCACATTTATCTATATTTATTGCATTAAATAAATTTTTAGATTTATAATGGTAATTTTAATAAAGTTTCAAAAATAGAAATGTCATAAAGCTATTATATAAAAAATACGTAAAAAAATTAAATAATTCCAAAAAATATTTTAAGTTCATAAATAATTATCATGTGCAACATGGACTCTTATTCGTGATTTATTTTTAGTGTTAATGTGCTTAGCAAGCACTTGTACTTGGTTAACGCAATATTATACAAGACTGTACGTCAATGTGCTTCCGAAGGAGGACATCGATAATATGTGGACCAGCGAAGGTTCCGCTGAGCTTGGTTATTCATTTTGGTAAGCTCTTATATATACTTTTTGTATAGTTCTTTGGTATACTCTTTATGTTTATACGCTAACAATTGCTATTTCAAATTAAATGTCTATTAAGAATAAAAAAATTGTTTTACATTTTTTTTTATTGAGGTGACTTAATATAATTCAAATTTTTTTTTCGATTTTTGTAATTTAATTGCAAGTATTTATTATTTAATTGATTGTAATAATTACAAAAAAGAATTAGATTTATTAAACTGCAAATTTTAGTGCTTAAGAAAAACGAACTAAACAAATAAATGTGCTATTCGAATTAGTTAACTAATCTTTAATTTAATCTGTCCTAAATATTTGCATTTTGGTGTAATCAAAAAAATTTTTTATTTAAAATTTTTTACATAGCATATTTATCATTTGTATTATTTAATCACACAGTTACTAAATTATCTCCTGAAATTTGAAATAATTTATTCTTACCTGATTCTTATTTTTCCATTTAGGCTCGTGGTGAGCGCCGGTGTTGTACATCTAATTAGTATAGCATTAGTCGGGTGGGGCTCAGGTAGAGAAAAGGATGACCGTCTGGAACCAATACCCGCACTTGAAGAGAAAACAGCCGCAGCGATAATGTTATACTAAACAATATAGTTTTAATATTACAAGACTACGACTGAACTACGTTAATGTGCGTAATATCGAATTATCGTTTATATCGATATTGAACGAAAATTAATTGAGATTAAATAGCAATAGAATTTTCGTTCACAAACGTTTGTGCCTCGCACAGTTCCTAGTTATCTGCCAGGCGTTTGTACAATCACTTGCCTCGATACAATTCGATTTTGCAACAGGTATTGTGCAATTTTATATGGAATTGAAACACAAGTATAAACGTAGCAAGTACATGTTCGAAGCGTGAAACGCGCGATCGAAGGGCAATATTTGCCGTGAGTGACGAATTAAGAGTTGTAATGTGGACGGTACGTCGCCCATGTGTGGCATATAATGTATACATTTCGACGTATTTTTATGCATTGACATTATGCCAGTTGTAATACTTGTGATTCCAAAGCGACAATCATTGAAGAACGAGCGTTTACGTGTAACAACGATCTTTTACGATTGAAAGTTACGCACTATTCGTTTTACGTGGCATAAAAAGACAAGATTGAGATTGATGGAAAAACGCTTTATTATAGCTTAATCTGTACATTAGTGTTTTTTTTTAATAATAAGGCCGCAATCTAGACAATTATTATTTCAGATTTCGGTTAACAAATTTCTATCGTTGATAGTATAAACATTCGTATACAGACGTGTATGTGTAAATTATGCGTTTCAGATGGTATGCATTGTTATATATCATTTTTACTGAGTTATCCCCCGATATATTATTCGTAAATAGTTAAAATCCATTTTCTTACATTCTTATTTAGAAACTATGTTTCTTTTTTTTTTTTACAAAGGCGATTGTTTTGACTAGACTGGGCTCTCGAGAACGATAATATATATATATATTTATATATATACTACTATCTATAATTTAATTAGTTAAAGAGGATGTTTAATAGGTAAGCGTGGCGTGCCTTTTCTTCAAGACATTAAATACTTTTAACAGTTATTTCTCAAGACTGTTACTTCCATATAAAAGGTATTTCATTAATTTCAGCCGTGGCAAAACGTATTATGAAATGTAAATACAATAAGTTTTCTCTTTGGGGAGTATATTTATTACAATGATGTCGCGGGCGTAATAATAAAACAGCCAACAGGTCATAGAACATCGTACAATCTTCATACTTTATTTCCTCTTACTTCGAGATCCTCTTTATCATCTATTTCACAAATAAATGACTTCATATATATTATACACAACGGTATCGCCGTAGTAATGCGATTGAAAGAAAATGTACATTAGAAAGCGTACAATTTCCTCTTAAGGAAAGATGGGTGATAAGACGCGGGATAATATAAAAAAATCTAATGAAGGGGTAGGATATAAGAGAATTTTTTATTGATATTTCTATATCTTTTCTAATCCTTTGAAACACAAGATATTTTGATTACGATAATAGAACGATCATCGACTGTGCAAAATAGAAAAAATGGGGAACCTGTGTATATATATATATTTTGAAAGATCCTAACGAAAGATGGAAATAATTTGACTCTATATTGGATCGGATATTTCAAATGGATTTGCCATTCCTTCTGTTTTACACAGTAATCTATCATATCGCAATCAAAATATCTTGTCTCTCAAATTCTCGCTATACATCTATATGACTAAAGCTATTCCCCTCCCACTTTCTTGTCTGGAAGAATAAAGCCACGCACAAAAGGATAAAAATGGACAGACTTCCGTATTAGATAAAAGGTCTATTCATAATGTAATATATTTTAGAGAGAATATTAAATTTATATAAAGCTACATATTTAACTGAGGCTTTGATGTCAGCGCCGACTAACTTTCGACCAGCCATCATCCTCTAATGGTCGCCTTCTCTCGTCAGATTTAGGCGGAAGTCTGTCATCTTTACGTTCATCTCGTCTGAAATGCACAAAAAAAATATCGAAGTTTAAAACTTTATTGAGCGATCAATGTTTATAAAACTCCCTTAAGATCTATGTAACAATACATAACTGTTATCCTTTAATTATTATTATTAAATATTGTTATATTATTACATTGTTTATTGCTAAATTCTTTAAATATAACTCACTCGCGCTTGGGTGGGTCTCTCGGGGAATCTTGAGGCGTATCGCGTTTCCGCCAGTCCTGATTGGTATTTCGTGCTGGTTCATCACGACGTTCGCGGTAACCACCACGGCGATCGGACATTCTACCGCGATCTCGATCACGATCATCACGTACTGTGTCACGTGAAATCTCACGTATCTGTTATTGCAAATAAAAACATTATTTAAAAAATCTACTAATATACTAATACAATAAATAATTATTTAAAAAATACGCACAAAACAAATAAGGACAAATAATATATAATCAATCTAATTAATCTCTAATATATTATCAATCTAATTAATAAAACATGAATGAATAAGTAATAAACGAAAAAAAAAAGAAGTTCTACATGTAGAACACTTTACAATGTTTGTAACGTGTATTGTATCGAGAACGTATACTTACTCCGCCGCGTCCATCCATTCCACGGTCACGGTCACGCTCCCGATCGCGGTCGCGATCACGATCGTCTCTTTTGTCGAAACCACGATTGTCTAGCCTATCTCGATCTTTCAAATCGTCTTTATCAAAGTTTTCATCTTTCCTCCATTTGTCCGCAGCATCCTTTTTCCATCGATCCGAATCTTCGTTTCTTCTCCATTTATCCATATCGCGAGTCTCGCGAGTATCGCGAGTATCGCGAGTATCGCGAGTATCGCGACGCTCCGGTTCCCTTCTCTTCCATGAAGAATCTTCGATTTTGTCATCGCGTTTTCTCCAGCGATCCGTTTCGTTTTTGAGTCCATCGGATTCTTTGTCAGGACGCCGCCATGATTCCAACGCTAATTATGACAAAAAAAAAAATAGTACAAATTAAATTTCATCGATTCAGATGTAGATACGAAAGTATTTAGCGAGAAGAAAATGTATTATACTCACAAGAAGGTTTCGGACCATCGCGTTCACGATCGCGATCTCGTTCGCGTTCACGATCGCGATCGCGATCACGGTCACGATCACGATCACGGTCGCGATCACGATCGCGATCACGTTCAAAATCTTTATCCCCACGTCGCCATGTCGAAGTCAGTTCTTTATCTCTCTGTCGTTCTTCCTCCAATTTACGTTCGATCTCAGCTTCCTTAGCTCTGATAATTTCGGCTTGTTTCTTAAGCTTGGCTAAACGTTCGGCTTCTCTGGCTTCCTCTTCGGCCCGTCTGACTCTCTCTTCCTCCTCCCTCTTGGCTCTTTCCTCCTCAAGACGCTTCTTCTCCTCTTCTTGCTTGATACGCAATTCTTCCAGTCGCCTTCGTTCCGCGGCTTCCGCGCGTTCCTTCTCCCATTTTGCCTTACGCTCGGCTTTACGCTCCATTTTGCGTTTCAACAATCGCTTGACACGTTCCTCGTTCAACAGTTTCTCAAATTCCTTTAGTTTCTCCATGTATATGCTCCTGCGCTCGGCCAAAATCTTAGCCAAGAAGATGTCGTGATCCTCTTTCATACGCGCTAAGCGCTCCTGAGTCGCGACAGCCTCCTGCCTCTCCTCGATAGCTGCGGCGATTCGCTCGTCCTCCTGCTGCCGCCAGAGCTGTTTCGCCTGTTGCATCCTGTCCTCCACGGCCTTCTCCAGCAGCGGAATCTCCTCGAGCCGCTTAGCGCGCTCGAGATAATCGACCTTCTTCTCCTGGGACTTGAGCTTTTGCTGCATCTCCCTGCGCTCTTTCTGCAGTTCCTCAGCTTCCCGCGCTGCAATCTGCTCTGCGTCCAACTTCTTGATCTCGTCCTCGTCTAGTTTCTTCAGCACCTTTTGCCCGTGACTCGTCTGCGAGATCTGCTGCATCTTTTCTTTGAGATGGCGATCCTTGATCTGCTGAATCTCGCTCTGCTGACGCTTTCGCTCGCGTTCCTCCCGCTCCTGCTCCAATCGCTTCTGTTCGGCCATCATCTGTTGCCGCTGAAGCTCCTCCTGTCGGCGCATCTCCTCCTCCTCACGGACCGTATTGATGTGCTCGATGTACTCCTTTCGCTCCTCGATAATTTTGTGTCTGCCCAATATTCTCTGATGCTCCTTCATCTTGGTCTCGTGATAGTGACCGACCATCGCGTTGCGTAGTTTCTCGCGCTCGAGCTTCTTCTTGTTAGGATTTATCACATTAATGGCACGGTGCAACACGGTTGCCATGTTCACCAGTTGGCAGCGTATTTGTTCGGAGGGCATTGCCTGCAACACCGGACCATCCGGATGATCTTCTCGTTGGGCCTCCGAAAGATCCACTCCGAAGTGAACACATGACTTGCCGTGGTCTATTCTGATTTGCATGTCGTTATAACGCACGCAGTCTACCAAAAGACGCTCGAGGTGAAAGTCAGTAGTGAATTTGGCGAGTTCCAATAGCCTGGAGAATTGTATAGTCTGATAAACTTGAGAAATTTGATGAACAAGACGCACGAGTGTAACATCCTGCAAAGCTGGGACGTATTGGATCAACGGACTGTTTTCGTCCGCCTGTAACGTCTGAATAACGGAATCGACTCTGCTGCAGAGTTCCAACGGATGGAATTCCACCTCCAGCCACGAATATAATTCTTGCAACTGCGGTGACGCGAGGCTGACGACATTCAAGCGAACTATGTCCTTCAACAGAGAGACACGTGTCGGTGGTTGCGAAAGGCCCAGAAGAGTTGCGAGCTTCTGAGCTTTTTCCAACGGGCTCTTGTCGGTCTCTATGAAACGATCAAACTCAGGATGCGCAGATGGCAATGGTATCGACAACGTTGCCAATAATACACGATTTGCCATTCGTTGTTGTTCCTCTGAGGACATGTTCTTCTTCATTTCCCGGGAGAGTTGTAGAAGTTTGAACAGCGCGGCCGCGTGAAACAGATAATTGCCAGCCTTCCAGAAAACCATAGCCAGCTTCTGATAGTAATTAGCCATCGTTTTCGGTACAGGTAGCTTCTTCGACAAATTCATCATACCGTGAACGTCCTCCGAAGATTTAAAGGCTTCCTGCCACAATTCCATCTGTATCGCAGAGTCCAATTGATTTAATCTAGTCTCCAGATTCAACTGTTGCGTTTCCGCCTTATTCATAGAAACGTTCGACACAAGCGGGGGCAGCTTACATATCTCTTCAAGGTGCTTCCGCAACTTCTCGCATAACTTACGGAATTCAGTCTTACGATTATACTCGAGGCAAAACTGGAAGGCCATACGTGCGATATCATGGTAAAGAGTTTCTACGTGCGCATTAGTTCTGAGCAACTCCAAGCATTGGCAGTACGACTCCCACAAGAACTTCACCCAGGGTGTCAGAATAGTACGATCGCTCCTGTCTTGCGCGTCCTCCCCGCTGACGGCCGACAGCAAGATGCTCTCGGGCGTAGCGAGGTTATCGAGATCGTCAATGTCAATCACCGCCTGTTGACTCTGCTTGCGCGCCGCATTAGTCTTCTCCTCAGCCATCTTCAAGTAGCCACGTATGACATTCTCCAAGCTCCCAACATTGACAGATTGAAACATATTTCTGTATTGGAACAAGCCCTCTTTCGCTATGTGCGACTTCTTCAGTTCCACACAAAGATCCAGATACTTGAACATTATAGGTTCCAAGACGGATTCCGACCAGTTGTACGTCCATTTTTTATTACGGAAGACTTCTTGCAATGTGTCTAATGCTCGAGCTGGTTTGCCCACTTCTATAAACTCTGTTTAGAAGAAAAAAGAAGACTATCAGCAAACTCTGCTCAATATTTTTTTTTAGAAATTACAATCGTTTATTAAATAATATAAACTTTTATATGTATTATAAGAATTATTAAGTGTACGCTGAGATATAGAATATTGACATATGTTGAAAAATATAAAATACAACAGAAATTAATTCATCAAAATTATTTAGCTATACTGTGTAATGTCTGTATCAGATTAAAGATAAGATTGGATTGGAATTTAATCAATTAGAAAAAACGAAAAGCAATCTCAAGTTTAGCAAACTTTGCTTTTGATTGCTCAAATTTCAATCCAATCGTGATCTTAATCTTTGGTCTGACACAGGCATTACATATCCTGGACTCAAAATCCAAAGATGTATATCCAGGTGAAAGGGAGATATTAAAAAAAAATTACTGGTTATAACACGCCGTGTTTGCTTTGCTTACGTAACAGGCAAGGTGTATAATAATAGGAGAGAATACGAGATATTTATAAGGGAAAACAAAGCCAATTTGTACTAATGTGTAAAGCTGAAGGAACGAAATTTACATGGTAAAATATGGTGGAAAGCTCGGCCAGACCTCTTTCTGGACTTTTAGCATCTCTATATACACACGTCCCGCATACTCTTGCTGAATAAAGAAACGCGAAAATTTGCTCTACGTGCAATCCGGCAAGTATTGCACGATATTTTAGAATAAATCGCATAACCGTGGCCCCCCGCAACCCCGACCACGGCCACGGGGCACGTCCGATGCGAATGCATATGGTCGTGAGAGAGAGAGAGAGAGGTCGTGAGGCTGCACCGGGAGACAGGCGGCAGCCTTGAGACAGCATGCCGATTTTCTAAGACACTGTGCGGCGCGGTAGGGTCGAACGTTTTAGGAGCCCCGAGATCATCCCTGCGAGCGGCAGCAACGGGGGAAGGGGAGGGAACGAAGCCGGCCGTGCTTTCCGCGCGCGCGACGGACTCGAGAGGCGTGAGCCCTCTTTTTTTCTCCCCCTCGCACGGAGCAACGAAGCTCGATGCCCATCGGCCATGTCACACTCGTGTAGGACGTCAGGCGGAACCCCGCCGACTTACCGTTCGCCCGTTTCAGGGCGTTCTCGGGTCTCTGCCCGTAACGCGCCATGTTTTCCTCACGCGGCCGCGGCTACAGGACAACCATAAACCACCAGCGAGGGTCCCGCGTCGGCTTGCAGACGTCGAAATTCCGTTTGCGCGCGACAACGTGTGCCAGGCACGTACCCGTGAACCGCGTGTACCGGATAGAAGAGGCGGCCACCGAGGAAAGATGGCCGCGCGTAATGCGCGAGTCAAGACGCGATCCGACGACGTCCGGAATGGGAGTGGCGCGTGCAGCGGGCGCTGCCCGGGGCCGCCGCGGAATAATCGCGCGATCGCGATCCGTCCGTCGCCGACGGCCGAATCCTCGCCTTGCCCCTCGGCGCCGACGCCAACGCGAATGGCACTCGCGAATCACGTCATCATTCACGACGCGACGACCGTCGGAGTCACGGATCGGCTCTTGACTGGCGTAGTGAGCGAACGACCTCTCGCGCCTTCGGTCAGCCGACAGCTGATTGGCCGGGTGGCGTCCTCGAGATCTCGATAGTCGCGTTTCTAGGGTATTCTAGGATTCTTGCAATCGTCGGCACACTCGATAGGTTTCGAACTTATTTGTTGGCAGCGACAGAATCTGGTGTCGCACCGAGTCGCGCGCGGATTGCGGAAGCGGGAGTGCATCGTAATATTTCGGGAAGCGTACCGTATTTTCTCGCGCCTGTCATTGTCAAGAGCGAATATTGCACGCGCGAGTTCGCGAGTGTCGCGCGGAGCGTCAAACGTTGTTGTCGTAATGCATCGCCATTGTACACACGTCGGCGGAAGAGGTGTTTTGCAAGGCGACTATTTCAGCGTCTCTACGCCGAGGCTGGCGCGGCGGTGAACGCGACTGGTTTGGAAATTCGGACTCGGTGGAATCATCCTACATCCTTTCGACGGAGAACAACGGATTCGAGATCACCGCCAAGTATGTGCAGTATATTGTATTGTGATTAATTCTTGACTCTTTTCAATCGCAACGTTGCGCGTCGGTTTCGGCGAATCTCGTAAACTGCTCGCAGCTCGCGTAATATATGGCGAATCACCGCGATCGCGTTTGAATCGCTTCCGTGAATAGTTGCGCTCAGCAGAAAAATCAATTTTACTGTTGTTGCAATTTTTTAATATGATCGGTCCTTGCCCTTAATTATTCTCACTAATCTAAATATATAAATAATCAAATATATTAACGAATCTTACACAATTGCAAAGTTACTTTTTTTCCTGAATTAATATAGTCAACCTCTCGCGATTATTTCGAAAATTCGATTGTTTCCGTCGAAATGATTATAAAATATATTTTAGTCTGGTCGCAACATATTAAATTTTATATTCTAAATACGTCTGTCTGATTTAATTTTTGTTTCTTAAACTATCATATATACTTTTTTTTTAATGTTTAAGATGTTAATAAGACATTAATTATAAAACAATAAGTATCTAAGAAATTAAATATTGATACATACTGGCGAAAGTCTTATTTGATTTTATATAATATAGTTATATACAGAAAATGGCGCTTTATGCAAAAAGAAAAATCGTAGATTTTATTTTACATATATTAATATTTCTTAAAAACATAATTAACAATATCGAAAATTAAGCCCGTCGAATAAGAAGTTCTGAATGAAACATAAAATTGATAGAATATAACAAAGTAGCAAACGATATGAATGCTTAATTATATTATAATATATGACAAAATATGACAAGAAATAGATACATTTTATTCCTTATTCTCATTCCTCGCAGAGTGTTAACATGTTTAAGGACTTTGATTCATAAAATTATCATAACACAAAGAGATTTTCGGCAATGGCTAAATTAATAAGAAAACTTTCTACAGCCGGCGCCAAATTTTTCTCCCTAAATATCTCGACGGAGATCATTCTTTTGCCATCCGGAGCTTGCACTGTCGCTAACGAAGTTAACTGATTTAGAAGATCCTGTGTTTTGTCACTTATCTCGGATATAACCTGGGCCTCCGTGTAGTTTTGATTTTCGCACAGTTGAACCATGAACAGGGCTATTTCCTTGTGGGTTTTCGTCATTGTAAGACTTTCTGCAAAAAATGAATACAGACTATGTATTAGGAAACATTTACTTATATTTAATCATACGATTGTAACAGAAATGTCTCATGGTTATGAAAATTAACAAAATAAATAACTTCTCTTTTCCTTATTACCTTTGGCATGCGGTGCTACAGTAATTTCTCTAGCAGGAATATTCACAAGTAGGTCGTACAGATCTATTCTTGATGATATCGAGCTGTTACTGCAGCCTGCCACATAGTGCGAATATTTCTGTAACAATGATAATAATTATACAGCGATACAATTAAAAATAACAGTAACAGTGATAATAACATTATCGGTAATAAGAATACTCCTGCAGTTCATCTTCAGTAAAAAAATTGTATGTCCTATTTATCATTTTTGGCTATTACAAATATACACTTTAATAGAATACATACCTTCAATTCGATTAACTCGTCGTTTACCAAATCAATCCAGGGAAAAAGATTGTCAGTAACTTTCCTGTGTTTCATCAACGCAGGGAAAGTTCTTATCCACTTAAGAAGTTGCTCCAAGCTGTGATGATATACAATAATCTTCTTTTTCAACAAGAGGGCGGTATATATCAAAATCGTTTCCAATTCGAATGTTTTAATCAGTTCTTTGACATTGGTGCTAGCTGCGAAACGATGAGTATTGAAATCGTCAGAGACAAACGTTCCGTTCTCCTGCGTCGAACAGGATCCCTTCGTGAATACAGATAGGTACAGCTGCAAAATCTCCGTGGGTTTTCCAGTTTTGCAGTACATCTTGCTGAGGACCCGCGAGAGCACTTCATACTTTTGTGGGTTGAAGTCCTTTGCGAAGAGAACCAATGCAAACTGTTTTACCTGAGACAATTGTGAGAGATACAGTGAATCAAAATAAAGTGTCTCGAATATATATATATACGAAAATATTTCCTTTATTAAGAAAAGGAGGTTAGTAGAACATTTACTTTCGGTAGTTTGTCAGAGTCGAATACTTCGCTGCAATGTATGTAGAACCAGTCGTGGCCGTGTCTCGCGCATACGAATACGTGAGGAGATGACGTATGCTCCAATTTCAAATTGCATTTCCTCGTGACTACAGTCTTCTGAGATTCCGTGATTGCTGGATACGACCATGTCCACAAGACATCTCCATTACAATCTTTCTCTGCAATTTTTATTCTTGGTTAAATAGATACAAGGTTAAATACATACAAGACGAACATCTAGTGTATATTTATCAAATTTAACTTTTTATAAAAAATACTATACCTATTACACTGCAGGAAATTAAATCCGTTAATGGTGCCATTTGGAGCCTTTCAGAATAAGTAACTGATGTAGATAAATAACTAACAATAACACCTGTCAAAAATTATATATTAAAGTTATTTGTTATTTTTTATGCTTTCTTGAAATCTATAGCAAAATTCACACATTTTATTATATTTTTCTCAATAGATAGTCTATATTTTTATTATTAAGTATTATTAATAGAACAAATTATTAATATATATCCCCTACAGTCACGACAGAAGTTGAGGTTATGTCAGGTTATGTTTAAATTGCTATTCGCTCTTCTCTCTCTCTTTCTCTCTCTCTCTTTCTCTCTCTCTCTCTCTCTCATTCTCACACAATGACTCACTCACTCACTCACTCTCTCTCTCTC